GACAAGGAAGGGGGGCGCCCCCCTTTCCTCTTTCCCCCTTCCCCTTTCCTTCTCCAACAAGGCGAGTGGGGGAGTCCTACTCCCGGTGGGAGTAGGACTCCTCCAGGCGCACCCCTAGGGCCGGCCGCACCTCCCCCTCTCCCTCCTTTATATACGGGGCAAGGGAGCACCCCATGACACACAAGTTGATCTTCGTGATTGTTCCTTAGCCGTGTGCGGTGCCCCCTTCCACCATATTCCACCTCGGTCATATCGTAGCGGTGCTTAGGCGAAGCCCTGCGTCAGTAGAACATCATCATCGTCATCACGCCGTCGTGCTGACGAAACTCTCCCTCAACACTCGGCTGGATCGGAGCTCGAGGGACGTCACCGAGTTGAACGTGTGCAGAACTCGGAGGTGCGGTACGTTCGGTACTTGGATCGGTCGGATCAGGAAGATATACGACTACTTCCTCTACGTTGTGTCAACGCTTCCGTTGCCGGTCTACGAGGGTATGTGGACAACACTCTCCCCTCTCGTTGCTATGCATCACCATGATCTTGCGTGTGCGTAGGAAATTTTTTGAAATTACTACGTTCCCCAACAGTGCGCACATGTTCAACTTATATATCCTTAACGTTTGCTCATCGCGAAATGAGAAGTTCATGATCAGTTGAGTTGTAAAGAGAATCCCTGGTCAATCAAGTGCAGAGAGATTAAGTTCTAGATTTTTGGCGAGATCAGATCAAAACAGTTTTGATTACCCCAGTTAAACGAAAATAGAAGAAAATTACTGAAGTACATTACAAAATAATTCTTTTATTTCATTTTTATATAATTTAGATAACGTTTTAATCCCTACAAACATGGTACTCCTCAGATTGTTTTAGGTGGCATACCCCTATTTACCTATGTTGATTGAAGTAGCATTCAATATCATCCGTCAGATTAGATTAGATTAGATTAGCAGTGTCCCTTGGGGACATCCAATTAAATTGCAATGATACAAAGAAGATTAACATGACCCCTGTCTCTGCATAAGTATAACACAAACAAATCTAGATCAGATTAACAGCTAATGAAAGATTCACATTTATTTAAGTGTGCCATAAAAAAGCTCACTATTTATTACAGTCCACGATGGAATACATGGCATTTACGGCATTCCTTTTATTTACTCGCTCGGTCCCCCTAGCTAGTTAGGCTGGTCATAGTTGGGAGTAACTTAGACTAGTGTCATGCATATAACATTAGACTAAGGCCCTGTTTGGTTCAGTTTTTATCGACGGATTCCGCTGCCGCGCGGCAGAATCTGAACCAAAGGGCGAACCCAGCAGAATCCGATTCCAGAAATCCGCTGCCAAAATCTGAACCAAAAGCGGAAGCAGCCCAGTACGTGCTTTCCAAAATCTGATTCCGCTGCGGGGCAAAATCTGAAAAAGTTGTATCAGCTGGTTTGCCAAATGACCTACATCTTTTTTACATCAGATTTTCCACAGCTGTTTTTCCACAGCAGATTTTCCACAGCTGCTTTTAGAAATCCACAGCCGAACCAAACAGGGCCTAAGTTACTACCTTTATAATGCAAAGTAACATAATAGTAATATCATAGATGACTTTATTTATTAGCTCATACTCATCTTGCCTTGAAAAACGCTATGTTACAGTAAGAGCATGGTTAATAGCACAGCCTGCTGCTGGCTATAAGCCCCTGCCACATCATCTATAAAGCCTTCCCACACAATAAGCTGGCTTTTAGGTTGGCTCTAAGACTGACCCTAATAAAGACATGGACATTTAATATTTACACCTGTTGTGATCCAATACATACAACATCTTTGTGGCCATTTCAATGAGCATATATCTGCCATTCATGCCAATAGGATATACCGGATATACCAAAAGAAACTGATCAATATTCAAGCAATTTTAATAATTATGTATGCATATATTCCATTCATGCCAATAGAACATACCAAGGAAAACTAATTAATAAACAAGCAAGAAACAGGTACGCATAGCACCATGACAAAACAGTTGAACATTGCTTGAGTCTTTCCAAGGAAGCATTAACCAAACATAGAACTAAATAAGACGCTCGGCAAACAAGCCATTAGTTTTAATCTTGACGCCGACGATCAACAAACTGATGGCACATAACACCATGACATCGACACTTAAACATTACACCAGTCATTTTAAGAAAACATTAACGAAACAAGAGACAATGCAAATAAGCCATTAGTTTTGATGGTAAATGGAGCAACGAATCCATCTGCATCAACATATAACCCCGGGAACCAAAGTGTGAATGATTATTAGTAGTTTAGTACACTGCTAACTTGCTTTCATTTGTAATTTTTAAGATTGATTAGACAGTATTCTAATCTACTGAAATATAAGGAAGGCTTTCTTATTACTAGTTAAGTACAGTACAAAGGCCGTCAAGGAGACTAGCGTGCTGGTTAATTATAAGAAAATTAATTAATTCATTAGGGAAAATTCTAAATGTTCAGAGTTTTAGATAAGATGGATACCCTTATTTGCTTTCTGTTTCTGTCATAACCATTTTTAAATTACAACAGCTGAGCATCATATCAAATACATGTGGATTCATATCATACAGAAACGCATAGCTGCATATCATGCAAATATTTGACAGTTTGACATCAACAAAGACCATCTGCATGTTCAGAGTTTAGATAAGCAGAAACAGGTGAAATGTATCAAACAGAAGGCTATCATAGCAAGACTGTACTAGTAAACAGGGGGAGAACACATACCATGCTTCTGGATTCAGATCATCAACATTCGTGTACCACAAAGGGCCTTGTGTCTGGGGGAGCCAGCATGGTGCAGAGGCCGCCGCTGCCTTTGGTGGCCGTGGAGGAATCGAGGCACCTGGTCCGGGCTGGCGTGGTGGCGGGACGAGGTGTGGCGCCGACAGCGGCGGGACGAGGTGTGGCGCCGACGGCGGGACGAGATGCGGCATCAACGGCGGAAGGAATTGAGGCAGCGACGGCGGGATGACCTGAGGCGTCGGCGCACGCGTCCTTTTGGACTGCTGACCCATCTCCTTGATGCGGCGCCGGCAGCTGTTCTAGGGTTTGGGGTGGTGGCGATTTGGGGGAAGCTGGAGGCTTTAAAGCTTCGATTTGGCGCGCACCAAGCGATTTGGAGCGAGGAAAGATGGATTTCGCGCGCGGAGGTGGAAGGAGAAGCGCACGAGGCAAGGGAGACGCACGGGATCGGAAGCGGCGGCACTAGCGCTCGCATCGGGCTGCAAGCAGGCGAAAGGCTCTCGTGTTCTGTGTCTTAGCCCGGCGCTTCACGAAGAGCCCGCTCCTTCTCTCTCCTTTCTTTTTTTCTCTCCAGCTCAGATTTTTGCTGATGTGGACTCTGTTGCAGCCTGCTGAATAGGACTATTGTACTTGCTCTAACATATTATGTTACCACCTCTCATTAATTACTTGCCATACAAGCAGAATTTTCTCGAAGTGCAGTATGTTACTAGCTAAGTTACTCCCACTATGGCTTAGAAATACGAAGGTGCATCAGATTTTTTTTTGCGGGTGAAAGGTGTATGAGATTAGGACGAGAGGCTATATACGTACGCGTGTATGTAGTGTCACAGCTAAGATTAGGGACATAAGATTACTGCGAAGATATCATAGCTAGTATGGTTTTCGTCCAACGATATTCCCGGCGGGCTCGTAGTTGCAGGTGATGAAGACGCCACGGTTGTTGTTGCAGACGACGCGAGCGCAGCCCATGGTGGAGTGCCCGCACACCTTCCCCGCGGCGCAGGTGTTGGAGCGGTAGCCGTAGTCCTTCTTCTCGCCCACCCACGCGTTCACCGCATCCGCCGCCTTTCAGTCCGCGCCGCCCGACCCCCAGAAGATGTTCTCCCCGTACGGCCCGCCCGAGTGCTGGAGCTTGCAGTCGTTGATCCTCTGGTTGGCGTAGCTCTGGGCGAACCCCTGCAGCTTCGTGCTCAAGCTCACCGCGCCCACCCCGACGGCGGCGTGGGCGGCGTTTGTGCGATGAGAGGTAGTCCTGCGGCGAGTTCTGCCTCTGGGAAAGGTTGACCATGGTGGCTGCCATGGCTAGGGCGAGCAAGATGGCTAGCTTGGGCGTTTGCATTCTTAGTTCAGGGCCTAAGGGCATCTCCAACAGATGCGTGGTTGTACGGCGCGCTAATTGTTTTTGCAGCGTCAAAATAGTCCTTTTTGCGCGTGGGAGCGATGAAGAAGTTTGTCAGATTCACAAAAACATGGCGCCCAATCCAACGGCCCCACCTGCAGGCTGCAACAGTCCAGATTTTACATCGCGCGCGAGCGGATGCACCAAATATTTGGTGCGCGATGCCGTTTTTCCCAGCGCGTTGGATCTTGTTTACCGCGCGTGGGATCTTATTGCGGCTGCTGAAGCGCTAGTTTTGATTGTGCGCGCAGCTGTTTTTTCGAGCGCGCGGCTTATCTAGCGCGTCGATTGGAGGTGCTCAAAATGATTTGTATGTGCCTGCACTAGCTAGCTTTGGTTCTGTACGTATAGCTTAAGTACCGAGGTGTAGTGGATTTGTGCGAGAGATTTCTGCAGTTTGCCTGGAAAGTCTAGCACCATGGCAAGGAATTTTCTAGGAGTGGCAAAGAATTCCACGAACAAGACATATGCATGAGGCAACTCGATCGATGGAGTCTCTCTCATTTGGAATTTGTTACGAACGTTGATAACTAGTCTCTACTCTACACCCCTATCCAGAAGGAGAACCCGTGAAGTCGTGAGTGGCTAATGTATATCACGTACGCATGGTTCCAGTAGGAGCATACTTGGACTATCCCATTGTTTGCCCTCAAAGTTGTTAGACCACGCTCTTTGCAGATCGTGTACTACGGCTACTACTAGAATGTGCGTACTTCATATTACTGGATTCTTCTATGTCCACGTAACTTTCTGGTAGGGATTTGCTGTGTACGTGACTCGCAGTCGCCCGGTTGGACAATGTCTAGAGACGGGTCTCGCGACCCAGGCGCCGGCGGCGACCGGCGAGTCGGAGGACGATTCTGGGCGCTAGTGGAGAGTGACAAGGAGGAGGGTGAGGACGACGGACGGCATCTTCATGCCTGCCCACCGGAGGCGGCGTCACCTACGCCTTCAGATCACATATGCGAGGCTTTTAGGATTGGATATTCAGAGGATGAGGTTGTGCTGATGGTGGATGAGGCGATCCCGCAGGACGATCCGGCAAGGACTGGATTGGAGAAGACGGAGAGGGTCGAGATCGTTCGCCGCGTCGTGCACCGGAGGACGGCGGCGACGGCGATCCGGCCATGGCGTGGCCCGCTTCCAAAGGTACGTCTTCCGGCCCTTACATTCGGTCATTTTCTCGGTTCGGAATGGAAAGTAGTGCCTAGTCGCCGGAAGAAGGGCCGGTGGCCGGAGCCGACGGTGGTACAGTCGTCCGGTACGATCCCGATCGGGGTAGCCAGGCGGCGGCGTTTGAATTCGTTGCTGGGCTTGGTTGGGCGGCCTGACGATGGGTGTGAGGCCCATCGGATGGCATCGCTGTCTGGGCCGGAGTTGGCCGGGTATGAGGCCCAGGCCAACCCGGTATCCACAGGGTCCACGAGCAGCGAGGCTAATAGCCCTTGCATGCGTACGTGAGAGCGTGTATCGCTGTGCGTTTCTTCTCCGCCGAAGTTGTGCCCTAGGTATATGCGCCGCGACGGTTCATCGGGCTTCCGTCGCTGTGGTCCGGGGCGGGTGACTCGGATCCCTCCCCTGATGGCGGGACGGGGGGATGCAGCACCTTCCGGCCCTAACAAGCAGGTGATCGCCGGAGTGACACCGGCGGCCCGTGGCGGCGGCGTTACACAAGGCCAGTGGCCGGTGCTGCCGGCTAACCGTGGCACCACACAGGGGCCTCAACCTACGGGTGTGGCCGGAAGAGGAATCCCGCCAGGGCCGCGTCCTGCGCAGGCAGTGGGAGCCGTGCCAGCCGCCGGGCGCGGTGGTCAAGGACTCCGACCGCCGGTGCCGGCTGTAACTCCAGCCGCCGGGCGCGGTGGTCAAGGAATCCGGCCGCCGGTGCCGGCTGCAACTCTACCGATGGCCGTGGGGCGAGGTGCTGTTCAGCCGAGGCCGCCGACGACGGCACCTGTCAGGCGTGGCACCTCTACGCAGAAACAGCAGACCCAAGGCACTGTTGCTGGGTCTCAGCCATGTGTCGCGCCGCCGCCGCACTTCGTTGCGAGGCCGGCGCAAAAACGCTCGGGCCCTACTCAGACAAGGCAGAACTCGGCTGCTAGTGAGAATTTTGATCCGCCCGGCGACAGTGGGGGGACGACGGTTTGATGCATATGGGGATGGCCAACACCGTGGCCTGTCATTCACGGGAGGTGGTCGTGGTCATGCCTGGCAAAGTGATGGTTCTGCTGAGAGACCTTTTCTCGGCCCTCCGGGTGGTTTTGTTGAGGGAGCTTATGGACCAGACTACCGACAGAGAGGTGGCTACCGTGGTACTCGTGGTGGTCGTGGTGGTCGTGGTGGTGGTCGCGGTAGGTACCGTAACAGACAGCCTCCGCCGCCGGTCATTGTTGACCATTCGGCCCCTGTCGTGGCAGCCGCACCCATTCAGACGACTGACCTGCTTAGCCAGGCGATGGAGGTCGTGATGGCACTGGCCAACGCGGAGGTTCTTGGGACTGGGGGTACTGCTGAGCAAGGCGACAAGACCGATTCAGAGAGAGCGTCCAAGTGACCGGGTGGAATCTGATGGTGTGTTTGAGTGCACGCTTCCGGTTTTGGAGTTTGATACTGCTGATAGTCCCCTGATTGGAGGCTTGGTGAGGATGCCTTCGGCGACGCCCTTGGATGGGGGAGGGAAGGTGGAGCCTCCGGTGGCTTCTCTTTCCCATGCTCTCCCAGTGATTGCTTCGGAGGTTATGTCTGAGGGGGGTCTGGGGTAGGTGGCCTCGACTTCTTCTCCTCTTATCCTAGTGCCGGCGGCGCCGGCGACGGCCGGCCAGGGGGGAGGCGGACCAGGGCAGGTGGCCTCGGTTCCCTCTTCTCTGGTGACGGCTAGAGCGGCCACATCTCCAGTGGCGCCGGGTGGGGGTCTGAGGCAGGCGGCCCCGAATCCCCCTTCTCCTTCGGCAGGCAGGATGGTTGCGCCCTCTGGCCAGAGGGTTGGAGCGGGGGGAGTGCCCGGGCAGGCGACACCCGCGCCTCCCTCTCCTGGCTGTCCGGCGGCCCAGGGTTTCGGTCTCGGACACTCGTCCGTGGGGCTTGGGAGCCCACTGCAGCTATCTTTGGCTGACCCTTCAGCGCGAGGTAATTCTCGGGAGGAGGTCATTGCCTTTGGTGGGATCCCAGACCCGGTCTCTGTGGGGCGACGGATGAGTTCTCGTATCCAGGAGCACCTGGAGGTTGATGACATGCAGCAAAGGTGCGCTATGAGGGCGGCCAAGCTTCATGACATTGAGGTCACTACTGGTATGTCTGTCAACGTGTCTAATTCTATCTTGCATTTTTCTAATGAAGAGATTATAAATAATGCAAACCAATTAGGAGTTTCGCTAGAGAGTAATAATAGTGAAATTTCCAACTCAGTCAATGATCTCCTAGATTTGGAAGCGGAACGCGTCTTAGAAACTATTCGAAACCTAGCAGCGGTAAAACACATGAATGATGCAGGAATTGATGCGTTGGGGGTCAGGGTGCTCGAGAACTTTTGTGCGGATCTTGCACCATCCATTCCTGAGTCCGAGGAGGAGGATGTAAATCTAGAGGATGCAGTAGCTAGACCCACTGAGCCCGGTTATGAGGACCGGGTGGAGAACCAAAGTAAACCCAAACGTAAGTGGAAGCGGAAGATTTATCCTGTTTCTGCGGTTCGTAGGAGTGCTAGGATTCGGACTACCAAAAAAATTTCATGATGAAATATGAGAGGAATCTTTTGGAATAGCAGAGGTCTAAAGGACTTGGCTAAAAGGAGGTTTCTTGCTGAGGCGTCTCTGGAGCATAGATTAGATTTTATTGCTCTATCGGAGACTGGTAGGGATAATTTTGCGCCGCAGTTTCTCAACACTTTATCGGGTGGTGTCGATTTTGATTGTCATTGCCTTCCTCCGCGAGGAAGATTGGGTGGGATCTTGCTTGGAGTGAGATGCGATTCGCTGGAAGTCCGAAGTGTAGAAATGGGTGACTTCGTGGTTAAGTTTCGGGTCAGGTCCAAAGATGATGGGTTTAACTAGGCTCTGGTGACGGTTTATGGTGCCGCGCAACCCGAGCTAAAACCGGAGTTTTTGGCGGACCTTTTCCGAATCTGCGGATCCGAGCAGCTCCCAATTTTAGTTGGGGGTGACTTCAACATCATTAGGAGGAGAGAGGAAAAGAATAATGATAATTTTGACGACAGATAGCCGTTTATGTTCAATACCATTATCGAAAGCTTGGATCTAAGAGAGATAGAGCTTTCCGGTAGAAAGTTTACTTGGGCTAATGCGTTGCCAAATCCGACATATGAGAAGCTGGATCGAGTTCTCGCGAGCGTCGAGTGGGAACAGAAGTTCCCTCTCGTAACGGTTCAGGCTCTCTCGCGAGGAGTCTCAGATCACACACCTTTATTAGTGGACTCAGGTGAGCCAAACCACGTGGGAAACAAAAACACCTTTTCTTTCGAGATGGCATGGTTCGAACGAGAAGGATTCTTGGATCTGATTGCCCGGGAATGGGCTAAGGATGCAGGAGGTAGGACTTCTGTTGAGCGTTGGCAGAATAAGATTAGGCATTTGAGAAGTTTCCTACGGGGTTGGGCTAAGAACCTTAGTGGAATTTATAAGGTTGAAAAGGAAAGGCTCCTTTTGCTTATTCAGACACTAGACTTAAAAGCGGAATCATCAATACTGCAAGCTGCAGAGTTTCAGGTTAAACTAGATGCGGAGATGAGGTTGAAAGAACTTCTCCGCAAGAAGAATTAAAGTGGACACTGCGAGCTAAGGTCCGTAAAGTTGTCCAGGGGGATGCGAGCACTCAATTCTTTCATTTGATTGCTAATGGCAAGCATCGAAAGAAGAGAATCTTTCAGCTTGAACAAGATGAAG